TTTAAGCCACTGGGTCCAGGACTCAAACTGCGGTTGGCTACATGGAATCCAGCAATATAGTCATTACGCCAACTGCTAGAAGAACTGGAGTTTTTAAAAACTCCCCAGTTGATTTTGTGGCACACACAGTGAGAATGATAGCCATAGGTCTGTGTGATTGCTCAGGTCTCCAAGGTTGACAAGAGGTGTCTATATGCTTAGTGAATAAGGTGCTGAGATCAGAGGCTGACGTAACAAAGAGAGTAGGGAGTTGACATTTTAGTGAAAACTGGTTTCAAAACAAGGGAGTGAATTGGCAAAGAGTTCAAACAAGCTCCAGTCAAATGAGAATGTGAAAAGATTTCTAAAAAAAAAAAAAAAAAATAGATTGAGGAGGTAGAAAATGTTATGTTGATGGATTTCGGTTGATGTAGGACCAATCGATGGGTTTGAGAGCACAGGAAATGGAGAGATTGGATCAGATTAGAAATGTTCCAAGCAGTATAGGACAAGTATCTGGGTGAAAGTGGATGACCTGGGAGGCTTCAGGTGGTGACTGATGGTTGAGCAAAACAAGGAAATACAATAGTGATGGAGTCCATGTCATCATCAATTAGTAGTTGGTGGTCATAATTTAGATACAGTCAACATCTTGGTAAATATGAGGTCACTGACCATCTCTGAAATCCTGTGACAGCTTATGGGATAGAAGATCTTTGCAGGGAAATGTGGTTTTGACAGCCAACAGTGACTTTTTTCCACATAGTGATAATCTCCTTGTGCGACAGTCTTGGAATGACATCCATCTCCCTGTTCCTGGTCCATAGGAAATTTCTCTGTTCTCCACTGTCATTTTTAAAGGTATTTTCCTCTCTCTCAAAACACCCAGGACACATAATCTCTTAGAGTAAATTCATGATTTTACAAAGACTTGAAGAATAACAAATTTCAAATAGTTTGTTTACCATCCTATGAAAGTCCTAAGGTCAGTAAAGTAAAAACAACCTAGTTCTCTGCAACTGAGAAAGAGGGAGTTAGAGAAGAAATTACAAAATTAGATGATCTAGACTTTTAGGAAAAAGGGAATGTTAATTTAGAACCATAATTATTATAAGGAATCTCCATAGCATTACTGAAATCTAAAATTATCCTATGTATTTGTTACATTTATTCAGTCAAAAAATATTTGTTGAATACCTTTTATATGCTAGGTGCTACTCTAGGTATTTGATATATAGCTGAAAACAGATAGACCAAGATATTCTTCCTACAGAGATCTTATTCTTATGGGAGGAGGCAGGTGATAATCCAATCAACCAATCAAGACATGAATAAGAAAAATGTCAGATAATAATTAATCACCTGTAGAGAAGTCATATAGGGTGATAAGACCAAAAATGGTTGATGGGTAATTTAAAGGGGCAGATGAAGACCTCTCTAGAAAGGAGACAATTACTTAGAATGAAGTAAGAGAGAAATTTACTACATATTTGTATTTTTTTTTCCAAAATAGAATGTGTCTTATTGTTCTTAATTGCTAGGAGTACATGCATTCATCAGAGAGAGAGAGAGAGAAATTCCCCAGTGAGATGTTCCTGCCACACAAACTCCTCTCCCACATTTCTAAATTCTGGATTTGGGCATGCATGCACATGTGCCCAATGTGTTTTCCAAGCCACTAGAGCCAGGATTCAAATGATGGTTCGCCACGTGAGATCCAGCTCCCTTAACAACCAGCTTCAGGCCAGCCTGAATTTGTTGTATTTTTTTACAATAGAATTAATAAATTTCATTGTAAGAATTTTGAATAAGATGTATATAAAGAAAAATCTTTATATTTATTTATGCTCAAATATAGCTAGGAACTTAGTAGAGCCCACTACTTCTCTTTGATCTTATGACCTGCAGATTTTTGTTCTTAGATGTTCTTCCCTCTCACTGTACTATTGCCAGTGCTGAGGTATGGTGTTTTGTTTTGTTTTTGTTTTTTTTTTTTAATTAAAAATTTTTTTTAACCTCTATACAAAGAAGGGATGCTAAGCACAGAGAACTAATGCTGTCACCCTAGAGATTTTTTTTTGTCAGTTTATTCCATATTGAATTTATGGAAATTGGTTACACTTACTGGGATCAAAATATGAGTTCGATATGAGGTGCAATGCATCACTCATTCCTTTTGTCTAAGAAAGCAAGAATTCTGTTTTCTGAATCTCTGAGTCACAAATGGATAATAACAGGAAGCTTGAGGTTTCAACAATTGAGAGATTTGTTTACCCTTGATCTAAACTCTTTAGTTTGCTACTGACTATGCCACCTGACTAGGTCCATAAACCTTTTTGGAGGAATTTTTTATTTTTATTTTTATATTGCCCTTAGAACATTATTGAAGGAAATTTCAGTGTCCTTGTTGAAAGAGTGAGTTTTTGTCTCAGTGTCAATATTATTTCTTCAGCTTCTATTGAATATGGTTCACTATTATAAAACTAGATATTGACGATGACTTTGGTACAGAAACAGCTCCCAGATGGTTACCTGGTCAATAAGGATCTTTAATATGAGAAATATTAATAGGACATTGGGATGGTATCTCATATCAGTAATATTTTTTGCTACTCTTTGAACATCCATTGAAGAGCTGTGTCTCATGCACAGGAAAACCAACAAGAATAAAATTGTATATTTTTTATTTTAGAGAGGAATTCAGTAATGGGCCAATTACGTTTTCTAGCAAAGGGTCTCTCTAATTAGTGTATTGAAGTTGCAGGGAAGCTATGACCTTTTGTTCCTTCTTTAACTAATGAAAAGGCCTTGTACTATGTAAGGGTAGGTGTAATGAGATGGTACTGAAACCCACTAAATAAGATAATAAATATATTCTGACTATTGTTGATTTTTCTGTGAGATAACCAGGAAACCATTCTGTTGACTTCAGCAGATGCTAAGTCTATGGTGAATTCAATAATGACATTTTTTTTCTTTAAACTTGGGATTCCTCTCTGAGTTTTCCTTGTCACATGGAGATCAGTAGATCGATAAGAACTGCTTTGACAAGTTTCTAGTAATTCTGGTCCCAAGGAAAAATAGATTAATAAGCAAAAGGGCACATATGACCTGAGCTTCACTTCAAAAGGGAATGCAAACAATGTCCTCCAGATCACAGACAGGTCCAAGGTCAATCTTAATAAAAAATGAAAAGTTAGAAATTACCCTCTGTAAGTAATAAACAAAGAAGGTGCCTGAATTTGGGTGGGAAAAAGAAAAAAAAAAAAGATGTCATCAATCTAAATCAGAAGTTGTAACTCAACAAGGAACCCAGCTCAAGGCTTAGGGAAGAGCCAGTAGTGCAGGGTCAGATAGAACAGTGAAAAGGGTTGTAGAAATTATTAATCCTATTTGCAGTCTACTTTTTAATGCCTCTTAAATCTATTGGCTTTTCTCCATCTTATTTGGTCCAAACTTCCATCATCTTTCCAGTGAACTTTTGCAGTGAACGCTCAGCTGTCTCCATGCATGCACTCAAGGATTTTTAAAAAAGCAAGTCAGATAATTTTAATTTCCTATACTTTCCCCTTCAAACCCTATGTGGCCTACACGATGCTGCAATGGCGTAGCATCTCAGTGTTTCTCAATCCCAGGAAGTTTTCTGTGAGGAAGCCGATATATGAAGATTTTTGGTTGTCACACTGAGGCAAGTTATTGGCACCTAGTGAGTGTGCTGGTAAACATTAAACATGGTTTAAGACAAAGATAAACCATTAAACATGGTTTAAGACAAAGATAATAAAGAAAGACCTGGCCTAAGTGTCAGTAGTACTGGGGTTGGACCACTCTCCATGACTTATGCTTCAAGCAAGCTAGATTTCTTTTAGTTTCACAAATTTGCTGTTTTCTTTCTCATTTACTTCCTTGCATACACGCTATTTTCTCCAAGAAATATGCTCTCTCTACTACAACTCTTTCTACACACCATGTGAACATTACTTTTAAAGTAACTTCCTCGGGGAAACCTATACTCAAGTCTACTCAGCATCTCATACTTTTAAACATTGTTAGAATTGTCTCAAGTCCTGGGTAAGATTGAGACTACAGATTTGAAACTTCAATATTAACAACTAACCAATGGGAGAGGGCTGCAGTGGACACCAGTTCTGGAGGGATCCAAATTGACATGGCTAAGTGCTTCAATTTTTTTGTGCTTAATCAAGTCTCCTGTTGATGCTCTCTATTGCATTTTTCATTTCATTCATTGTATTATTCAGTTCCAGGATTTCTATTTGGTTGTTTTTTGTTATGTCAATATCTCCAATTTTTCATTCTGATCACTTACTGTTTTCCTCATTTTGTTAAATTATTTTTCTGTATTTTCTTAAGGTTTACTGAGTTTTCTTAAAAAGTTATTTTGAATTCTTCATTAGGCAGTTCATATATCTTCATTTCTTAAGGTGTTTCACTGGCACCTTATTTTGTCCACTTGAAATCATATTTCCCTAATTATTCTTGACCCTCATGGTCATAAGTCAATGTCTGCACACTTTAAGAAGTAAGTAATTATTCCAGTCTTTGCAGAGTGGTTTTGTCTGGGGAAGCCCTGTGGCAGGTGTTGTACTAGTACATGCCAGAAACATAGGTATCTAAGGACTGCTTGCTGCAGAGGGCTGTTTTACACTGAGGGCCATCTGGACCCTGGGACGGCTGACATCAGTCCAGTGAGGATGTAAGCCAGAGATCAAGTCCTCCAAGCAATCCTGAGTCCTAGAGATGTGTGGTCCAACCTGGCACTGGGACATATCTAGAGACTTAGTCCACAGATACTGACATAGAATATGAGAACATGAAGTCTGCCCACTGCTGTGCTTTAACTATGATGATCTCAGTGTTGGGATTTAAGGTATAAGAGTAAAATATTTGATATATCTGTCTGGGGGACACAGTTCAACTCACAAGTTCCTTGCCTTTAGAATTGAACTGTTGTGCCGGTATGTTTTCTACCTTTTTCAGCTAACTAGCTATTCCAACCAGGATCGTAGCTCTAGCTGTTGCATGACTTGAGCATGCATTAGAGCTGTCTCTTCCACAATGGATGCCATCTCCATCAGAACCAGCCTGCAGCACGTTGGATTTCAGAACTGAATTGCTGCCCTTTCTGTTTGCTCTGGAGTTTGGAGTAGATGGGGTAAGGTGTGCTAATAGAGGTCCAGCCTAGCCTGCTCCCTCCCAGATACTGATTTCATCTGTGGTCGCATCTACTATCAGCAGTAAGGCCTCAGCATATCCATGAGCAATGGCTGACCCATTTATGAAAAACTTGCAGTCATTTTGTTTCTATTCTTTTTGTACATTTTTATTCTTCATTCTTTATTATACTCATATTCAGACAAAACAAAGGGCAAAAATAAGTTCAAAGGAACTTCAAAAAGTTCAAGAAAAAATTGTGTTAAAATTCAAATTTTTTTTGGCACAAAAAAATTTGAAATTTAAACATGAGTTTTTCATAACACACATTTTTCCATTAATTTTTTGAAATCCTACACACACACACACACACACACATACACACACACACACACGCACACAAGCTTGCAACTAAGCATTGATAATATCGTGCTTCAAATGTCTATTGCAATTTTTTATATAAAATGTCTTTCTTGACTAGCCTTTGGCCTGGTGGATAAGAAAGCCAGATCCCACATGATTGAACATGTTTTGAATCCTGATCCTAAGGGCTTGAAAAGCACATGGGCTCATGTCCCAAATCCCAATAGAATGTATAAATGGAGTAGAAGAGATTGTGACATAACCATGCCCCATTGAGAGGTGCTTCCCATCCTACCTTTGGCACATGCGTGTGTACCTTCTGGAAATTAAAAAAAAAAAAATCGTCTTTCTCTCTCAAGAATACCTTTCAGGAATCTCATGATCATGAGTAATATTTTCAAGAACATAAGATTCCTAAAAAGTATTATTGGGAAGGAAAAAGTTTAGCAATTGATTGCTATAACTTTGAACCTATTACTATTCTTTTTTTTTTTTTTTTTTGGAGAGGTTTTTGCTATAGGGTACGTATGCTCACCAGAAAGACAAAGAGAGAAAACAAAAAATCACCCCCCGTGACGATGGCCACACCACAATCCCTTCTCCTCCATTCTCCTCTCGAGATCTTGGGCATGCACACACACCCAGCGTGAATTTAAGCCACCAGGTCCGGTACTTGAACCACTGTTAATTACATAGGAGTCCAACGACATAACCATTACACCAACTGCTGGTCCCAAGCCCATTACTATTCTTTAGGATAGTGTATCCTGAGAATATGGGTTACAATCTCTAATATTAATGAATAGCTCCAATAGAAACAATATACTGGCATCCAGTTTTTCATATTTTCTATCATTATTGAGGGAAGAAATCTTCTGTGATAGAAGCTACAAACATAAGTAACTGTATTAATGCTGTAAATTCTATGCTCTTTCAAATTTAATTTATTAATTTCAAAATTTAGTTTACCATGTTATCTATATTTATTTTTTCACCAAATAATTTTTAGAAGTACAAATTTTGAAGGAAGATATTTTTTTCTGCTGACATGGGAAAATGGGAACTAAAGTAGAAAAAAAAAAGTCTTCCCTGAAACTTTATCTAAATAACAGAAAGCAGATAAAAAGTTTTCTGCCTTGTTAGCTTATTATTGCAACTATAGATGAAATATTTTTAAAGAGAGGAGTAACTTAAGAGGGTTTTTTTTAAGTTTGTTTTTTGTTTTTTGTTTTTTTTTTTTTTAGTTTTTGCTATAGGGCATATGTGCTCACTGGACCGAAACAGAGAGAGATAGAGAGAGAGACAGAAAGTGAGAAATCACTCCCCAGGGAGAATGGCCACACTGCACTCCGTTCTCCATTCTCGTCTCAGGATTCTGAGCATGCACACATGCACATGCACCCATAGTGTTTTTCAAGCTGTCAGGTCCAGGACTAGACCTGCTCACTTGGCCATATGCAATCCAGCCACCTTAACCACACTCTGGCTGGCCTTCTGAGCTTTCTTTCCTCTTTTTCTTTTCTCTCTCTCTCTCTCTCTCTCTTTTTTTTTTTCCCACGAAACCAGTTTCTAGGCATTGGAGAGGCTTTTTTCCTACTGTTTGTTAAAATAGGGTTCCGGGCACCAGAAGGTGGCGTGGTGCTTAAGGCTTTAGATTCCCATATGGCCAACAGCAATTCAAGTCCCCGACTGACAAACTGAAAATGACAACCCCGTAGGTGCTTGCATGCCCAAAATCTTTAGAGAAAAATGGAAGAGACGGGATTGCAGTGTGGCCATCCTTCCTGTGGGAGAGGAAAGGGGAGTGATTTCTCACTTTCCCTCTCTCTTGTCTCTTTCTGGCAAGGGGACACGCTCTAGGCCAAAACCTTAAAGAAAAAAAAATGGATGGGGGGGAGGGTCCAAAGGAAGAAAAACCCGGGAAATCACACTCAATTCTATATAAGAAGCATTTGATCCTATAAAAATGTTTCCATCTTGCTAGCCTCCTTATTTGTATTGTATTACATTACCTGTACAGACATGCATATCTGTTTACACTAGCAAGTTCAAATATTAATGTCATGAAGTAGAAAGGAGTGGTCGTTTCTAAATTAAGGACTTAATCATTTACTGTTCAAGGCTCTTCCAGAGCACAGTGAAAAGCATAGCTCCATCTGAAATCTGAAAAAGTGTTCTTTGTTCCCCCGGTGGTCAATGTGAGCACTCTATTTTTGAAGGAGGTCTTTTCTTCCCTAGGGGAATACTGTCCCAGGGCCTCACTTTCGCATTCTTTATTTGCATGCACCAGCCTTTTTTATTGCAAATAGGGCTCTAAATCTTACTTTAGAAATGGATATTGCACTATGTGTGAGTGCATGTGCAAGAGAAGCTATCAATAATGTTAGTTATGAAAACCTGATCATAAGTGTTTTTAGTCCATTAGCCATTTCACTTTATTTATGTCCCCTTTCAGGCAGGATTTGAAGCCAATATTCAAAAGATGAAGTTTGGATGAAGAGCAACACAAGAGGGTATAAAACACTGTCACATTTTTTCATGCTAGAAAATATTTCTTCCTTATATTATTTCTTTAAACAGTTCCTAACAATAAGTAACCTCTGGGGGGAGTAAGGAGGGCAGAATAAAGAACTGGGCCAAGAATAGGTATAATTTAATTTATGCCTACCTACATACCTATCCTTTTCTGCCATTACATTTAATAATTTTTAAGGAGCATTACCACATTTTAAAAATTGCATACTATGCACCCAATAAATGTACCTATAGGCAATTATGACATGTTTTGGCCTATTTCAGCTCCTAACGGAAATTCAGGTCGTGATTTATTAATAAAATCGCCTTTGCTCTTATTTGCAGCTTTATCTTCCAAACAGCATGCACTACGAACAGTTGAACCTGCAAGGAGATAATGCTTCCTGTCTCTTTTCTGGTGTATAGTGGCTGTCAGCTGCTGAGATTGCTGGCGTATGGACACCAATTTAATGTAACCCCAAAGCCCATGCTTGATCCTGGTGATGGTGAGAAGTGCGTGGAAATGTCAGCCCACAGCCTCCTTTTCTGCACATCACCTGAGCTGTAGGTTGCAGGGCTATGGCAATCAGTCCTTAAGCTCTCTTTTATTTCATAATGCCCAAGGAGACTGAGAAGAGAAAACAAGACCAGGAAAAGGATGTCTCCAGTAATCTAGTTTTTTTTTGATATCGCATAAAAATCCACAATGATAGCAACACAAAATGGGAAGCATTTTCTTGAATAGGTTAATAGGAATTTGGCAGCAGGGCTGGGGTTGGGGGGAGCTCCAAGAAAAGAATCAAGTGTTTAGTTGAATGTCCAAAACTCAGTAAATGATGGTTGTAACTCATGGGTCAAATGCCCCGCTTGAGCTCTACACACTTAATAGTGAGCCTCTGACTTTTTCATTAATTCGTATTAATGACAATGCAGATACCATGTTTTAAATCTTGGTGCAGACCCCAAAGAAAGCCAATTCTAACTCCTTGAGTCACCTAGTCCTTCTCTGTGGAATCATTTCTAATTGAATGTTAAGATCAAAGTTTAAGTTTATAAGAAAGAAAAACAAGTGCAGATAAATAGTTATTATCTGACATCCTTATGAAAATTCATGACCTGCAGTTTTATCAGAGTCTTATAAGAATTCTAATTGTGAAGTATGCGGAGCTATTAAATGGCTAGTACGCTTCAGTCTCTTGATAAGAAGTGAGTTAAATAATTGTCCTGTTTAACTTGTGCTTGTTAACCTTTAAGGTCAACTAGTTTGAACATACGTTTAATGAAATCCTGGAGCCAGAATTTATGATACTGCTGCTGAATGTTAAATTGGACAATTTACATAAGCAGGACATTAACCTTCTGAGCACTAAATAGCATTTTAGCACTTAGCCGCTGGGGACAATAAGGGACATGTTCTATATATTTGTGATTAGCTTGCCTGGAAACTCTCATGATGACCAATTGGCCTACCAAGTTTAGCAGCATAATTAAATGAATGGACTCAGCCTAAGTAAATTATCAGTGCTGTGTACAGTATATCATTATAGTCCGAAAGAAAAAAAAAGATATGAATAATTTAATAATACATTACTAATTTATCAATGCTAAGTGACTTCGAGGAGGCTCTTTGTAGTTCATTGCTTTAAATTTGATGTTTGATTTAATGTTCATATGATTAAAATCGAACCTATTTCATTTCTTACCAAAAATACATAGAAGCAGATTTTATTTTATTTTATTTTGTTTTTAGAGGAGACAGGTATTTTCTGCTTTGGTGACATTACAGAATACCTACTACTGTGCACTGATTAGCAGGTAAACTAGTCATTTGTCACAATCAGATGTATGTAGTCCCCACTTCTTGGTAGCCTTGCTTAAGGGAGGGCACTAACCCCAGAGTCATGCATAAGCCCAGCTTGCAACACAGCAGCAATTATCATTATGGTTTGGAAGGGTCAAGCACCAGGGAAAGCAATTTGCACTTCACCTAGGAATGTT